TTAGAACCAGTGCGTCATTGTGATACACAGCCATATACATCTTGACTGATTCATAGGAGAGGATCTATTAGTTAACATATGTATTTTATGGACAGCTGATCCTAATTATAGCAACACTCATTAGCTGTGTCGGAGATTGATAGGGTAGCTAGGGGTTGATATAATAGATGTTGCTGCTTATACCTATTACATTTAACATCATAGAAACCTAACGAAAAGGTTGTATTAAACCCATGCCTAATAAAGTTTTATGTTATAAGTTGGAATAACTAAGTCTGGTTCTCAGTCATCAAAGTCATTGGTTATAAATGGCCTAAATCCCGATATGGTTACAAGGAAAACAAAATGTTCATTTCAAAATTGCCATTTAAAATTGTTTTTTATTGGTATGCCTCTGTGTAGCTAACACCTAAAGGCCATCTTTTTACCTGTACCCTTTAAAACCTGAGCTCCTGATTTAAACCGTCTGTAAACATTGCTGAGTCTGTAAATGTGTGTTTATTGATAAAACAAGACTCTAACAATGGCGATATTGCTGTGTTTACCATTATACATGTAGAAAATACAATGTGCTGAATGAACCAAAACCATTCAGAAATATAAGACCTGTTTTTGAATACATAACATCTCAAATCCTAACGTTACCAGTATCAAATAGGACAATAGTTAGGGATGACAGATGTGAAGTTTAAATATTTGGGTGGACGCCAGGTTTGGGGTTTAATGTTTCGGGTAGAATGTTTTGTGACACAATGATAAACCCTGTGTGAGTGTCCAGTGTAACATACAGATTTACGAGGAGGAGGATTCCGTCAGCCTGTCTGGGGTCTGTCCCTGTGGACAGCACTGCTGGGGACCTGATTCAGTGGAACGGGATCCTTATAAATGAGGCTTTGTCAGGACAGTCAGCACCTGATGATTTGTCAGCTTAACACTTCAGCAAGTGTAACTGAAACATAAGTTGTTTCAGGTGAAATAAAGTTGACCATGAGGCTTTGCAGATTTTGTCATGGATTGTCTGCTCCGAGGTCTCACTTCTTTCGTATTTGTCCTCAAGATACAAACTTGGGTGTCAACACACACTATGTCTATGTGACTGTAGTTTAACTCAGACACAGTCGTAAAGGATCTGGAATTCAATTCAAAACCTGTTACAGTTAGCTGATGTTTCACATTTCTACAAGTTATTAATACATGTTTTAAAGTCTGTAGCGCCTGCAATATAATTCAGTGTTGTTACTCTAAAAAAACATTTTGTATTGAATGGAAATCCTCATAACTATTGGTCAATCATGCATACAGAATGTACATCCCCATGTATCTTCTCCGTAGAGCACTTACTGATGTACAGAATAATCACCATGTATCTTCTCAGTAGAGCACTTACTGGGGTACAGAATGTACATCCACATGTATCTTCTCCGTAGAGCACTTACGGGAGTACGGAATGTACATCCCCATGTATCTTCTCCGTAGAGCACTTACTGATGTACAGAATAATCACCATGTATCTTCTCAGTAGAGCACTTACTGGGGTACAGAATGTACATCCACATGTATCTTCTCCGTAGAGCACTTACGGGAGTACGGAATGTACATCCCCATGTATCTTCTCCGTAGAGCACTTACTGATGTACAGAATAATCACCATGTATCTTCTCAGTAGAGCACTTACTGGGGTACAGAATGTACATCCACATGTATCTTCTCCGTAGAGCACTTACGGGAGTACGGAATGTACATCCCCATGTATCTTCTCCGTATAGCACTTACTGGTGTACAGAATAATCACCATGTATCTTCTCCATAGAGCACTTACTGGGGTACAGAATGTACATCCACATGTATCTTCTCCGTAGAGCACTTACGGGAGTACGGAATGTACATCCCCATGTATCTTCTCCGTATAGCACTTACTGGTGTACAGAATAATCACCGTGTATCTTCTCCGTAGAGCACTTACTGATGTACAGAATAATCACCATGTATCTTCTCCGTAGAGCACGTACTGGGGTACAGAATAATCACCATGTATCTTCTCCATAGAGCACTTACTGGGGTACAGAATGTACATCCCGATGTATCTTCTCCGTAGAGCACTTACTTGGGTACAGAATAATCACCATGTATCTTCTCCGAAGAGCACTTACTGGGGTACAGAATAATACCCATGTATCTTCTCCGTAGAGCACTTACTAGGGTACAGAATAATCACCATGTATCTTCTCAGTAGAGCACTTACTGGGGTACAGAATGTACATCCCGATGTATCTTCTCCGTAGAGCACTTACTAGGGGACAGAATAATCACCATGTATCTTCTCCGAAGAGCACTTACTGGTGTACAGAATAATCGCCATGTATCTTCTCCGTAGAGCACTTATTGGGGTACAGAATAATCCCCATGTATCTTCTCCATAGAGCACTTACTGGGGTACAGAATGTACATCCCGATGTATCTTCTCCGTGGAGCACTTACTGGGCTACAGAATAATCCCCATGTATCTTCTCCATAGAGCACTTACTGGGGTACAGAATGTACATCCACATGTATCTTCTCCGTAGAGCACTTACGGGAGTACGGAATGTACATCCCCATGTATCTTCTCCGTATAGCACTTACTGGTGTACAGAATAATCACCATGTATCTTCTCAGTAGAGCACTTACTGGGGTACAGAATGTACATCCACATGTATCTTCTCCGTAGAGCACTTACTAGGGGACAGAATAATCACCATGTATCTTCTCCATAGAGCACTTACTGGGGTACAGAATGTACATCCACATGTATCTTCTCCGTAGAGCACTTACGGGAGTACGGAATGTACATCCCCATGTATCTTCTCCGTATAGCACTTACTGGTGTACAGAATAATCACCGTGTATCTTCTCCGTAGAGCACTTACTGGTGTACAGAATGTACATCCCCATGTATCTTCTCCGTAGAGCCCTTACTGGTGTACAGAATAATCACCATGTATCTTCTCCATAGAGCACTTACTGGGGTACAGAATGTACATCCACATGTATCTTCTCCGTAGAGCACTTACGGGAGTACGGAATGTACATCCCCATGTATCTTCTCCGTATAGCACTTACTGGTGTACAGAATAATCACCATGTATCTTCTCCGTAGAGCACTTACTGGGGTAGATCCATTAAGTTGATGTATAAGGCCACCCTACCTTTATAAAAACTCATTATACAATATTGACACTATATCTGTGTAGAGTTGTAATTAGCCTCTCTCAGTTAACTTGTCCTTTAATACATTCCATGTGAGCCATTCTATAACGTTTTGATGTATAATTGTTTCATTATTACTGATTAGTACTTGATCTGGTGTAACAGGTGTTTAGAAATGTCAAACCTATCATCTGTTTGTGTGTTAAGTACATATTTTGTACCTATTAGTATGTTTGGACTGTTAGTCCAAACTATTTGGGTCAGATGACAGATGTCCAGTCTCTTTAAGTAGAACATCTGGGGTTACAACTGACCGGTATACCAATATATCTGTACTGTTTGTATTCAGCTTGACCAATAAACATGCTCTGCAGTGTTATATTTTATTAGGTCACCTGAGACAAAGTCTCAAGTGACCTATTGCGATCGCCTTTTGTCCGTCGTCGTCCGTCGTCCGTCGTCCGTCGTCCGTCGTCCGTCGTGCGTCCGTAAACAATTTACATTTTCGACTTCTTCTCCAAAACCCCTGAACCAATTTCAATGAAATTTTGCAGGGACCTTCCATGGACAAAGGTCAACAAAAATAGT